ATACGAGTCGACATGCCTAAGGAAGGTGCCAATATCCTAAAATTCGACAACCACAAGAACCAAATGTCTGTGCCTTATGTCATCTACGCCGACTTTGAAGCCTTGGTCAAACCAGTTGAGGCTGTTGGGGGTACCCCAACCACACACAAGAGCATGAGGCCTGTGGGTTTGGATGCGTGAGTAGATCCGTTGTGATGGGGAAGCAGCTCCGGTAGTGTATAGGGGTCGGCGGCTGAAAAGTTTCTAAAGTGTTTGCAGGAGGAAGAAAAATTATTAGGAATGCACTGTATGCAGTCGGCTCCCATCGCGTATGACCCAAGCCGACAGGCTAGCCCACGCCTGTAGCACTAATTGTCACGTGTGTGACTCACCACTGAACGGTGATTCGGTGAGAGATCACTGCCACGTCACCGGTAAGTATAGAGGCGCCGCTCACAGTGTGTGCAACCTCAAGCTTAGAATCAACCCCAAGACAATAAACATCCCCGTTGTCTTTCACAACTTGAGAGGGTATGACTCTCACTTGATCATGCAGGCCATCGCGAAAGTCGACGGCAACCTAACGTGCATCCCCAACAACATGGAGAGATACATCTCCTTCAGCTTAAACGGCCTGAGGTTCATAGACTCGGTTCAGTTCCTCCTGTCGTCACTTGACAGTCTGGTCAAGGCTAACGATACCTTCCCCATCACCGATCGATACACCGACGCCGAGACTAGACCCCTGCTGATGAGGAAGGGTGTGTACCCCTATGAGTACATGGATGGCTGGGCCAATTTCGCCGAGACCAGACTACCCCCCATCAGAGAATTTTACAGCAACCTGACCGACTCGGCAATATCCCAAGACGATTACTCAGACGCTATTAATGTATGGAATAAACTGGGTTGTAAGAATCTGGGTGACTACCACGACCTGTACTTGAGGACAGATGTACTGCTGTTAGCGGACGTGTTTGAGACGTTTAGGCGGACATTTTCAAGCAGTATAAACTCGACCCCGCATGGTATTACACCAGCCCAGGTCTGTCGTGGGATGCCTTGCTTAAAAAGACCGAAGTTAAGTTGGAATTGCTCACAGATTACGACATGCACCTATTCATTGAGAAAGGCTTGCAAGGTGGGATTTCCATGGCAACCAAACGATACGCTAAAGCAAATAATCAATAGGTGAAGGGCTACGACCCAAGCAAACCAACCAATCACATTCTCTACCTCGATGCCAACAACCTGTACGGTTGGGCCATGAGCCAGTATCTACCCACAGGGGGATTCGAATGGGAATCACACGAGGTCGATGTTATGAGCATGGCACCAGATTCGAACAAAGGTTATATCCTCGAGGTGGACTTGGAATACCCCAAGGCATTACACACATCACACAACAGCTACCCCTGGCCCCGAGCGTTATGAGGGTTAACCCAGACTGGATGTCTGAGTACCAACATAACTTGTTAGGTGGGCGGGTGGCAGAGCGTTGAAAAACTTCGTGCCCAACTTAATGAATAAGACCAAGTACATCGTTCACTATCGCAACCTACAGCTGTACCTGTCGATTGGGTATGAGGCTGACCAAAATACACAGGGTGCTCGTGTTCAACCAGAGCCCATGGATGGAGCCTTACATCAGAATGAACACAGACCTCCGAAACCTTGCCACCAGTGACTTTGAGAAAAACCTCTACAAGCTCATGAACAACTCGGTGTTCGGCAAGACTATGGAGAACCTCAGGAAACGCGTGACTGTGAAGCTGGTTCGGTCGAATGAGGAAGACAAGCTCAGGAGACTGAAAGCCAGTCTGGCATTCAACCGTAGCAAGATATTCACCGACAACCTGGTTGCCCTACACATGAAGAAAAGCCACATAAAATTCAACCGGCCTGTTTACGTGGGGATGAGCATCCTCAATTTATCCAAACACCTGATGTAATGCGACTTTTACTACAACGAGCTTAAGAAACAGTATGCGGCGACAGGTGTGAAGTGCTGTACACTGACACGGATTCCCTGCTGATGGAGATTGAACCGGAGGACGTGTATGAGGACATGAAAGAAGCGCCGATTTGTATGACACCAGTGACTACCCCAAGGACCATGCCATACACAGCGGTAAATAAAAAGGTCCTAGGTAAGATGAAGGACGAGTGTGCAGGCACGCCCATAGCCGAAAGTACATAGGCTTGAGGCCTAAGATGTACTCCATCCTGAAGGCCGACAATGGTGAGATTCGGAAGAAGCGAAGGGTGTTAAGAAGTGCGTGGTGAAACAACACATCAAACACGCCAGATTCAAAGGAAGCCCTGTTCAAGACCCGTACCTTTAGACATAAAATGAACACACTTAGAAGTGATGGGCATAGGATATACGGACTGACGATAAACAAAGGCGTCCCCATGGCCGATGGACACTAAGCGTTGGATAGCTATTGATGGGATAAACACGTACGCGTACGGGCATGAGAAAATTGAACCAAGAACATAGGTGTATATGTAAATACCATACCCTGTCAGGGTGACATTTCACGGAATCAGAGAAAGTTTGAGGCTATTTACTACAGCCCACGTGGGTACTGGAAAGGAGCTAGCGCTGTACATAAGCTGGCTAAAATGGCGCGAGTACCCCCAAACGAGGCCAAAGCGTGGCTTGAAAAACAAGCCCTGTGGCAGATCTATTTACCACCACCACGCTACGTGCCTAGAAGGAAGTTTGGTATTAACATACCCAATAGCGTTCACCAGGCAGACCTACAGTTCCTACCCGCGACAGGGGTGAGCGCCAAAACCTACAAGTATGCCCTGACTATCGTGGATGTGGCCAGCCGGTATAAGGAAGCGGAGCCCTTAACAGCGAAAGATTCGAATCAGGTGGCTCAAGCCATGGAGCGTATATACAAGCGCAGTCCACTAACGTGGCCAGCAGAGCTCCAAGTTGACCCCGCGGGAGTTCATGGGTGTCGTGTCACACCTGCTGGATAAACCGCGATACCAAGGTCAGAGCGTGTACGGCGGAGCCCATCGCAGCCAAGCCATAGTTGAGAGATTCAATAGGACTTTGGCTGAGCGCTTATTCGGGCATCAGTACGCTCAGGAAATGAGTCTAAATAACCCCAACACCGAATGCACCGCGCGGCTACCTCAGGTGGTGTTTGCCATAAACCATGAAATCACCCGTCTCACTGGTAAGAAGCCGGTAGATGCCATTAAACTAAAATCAATAGTGGCAGAGTCGGCTGCACCATTGCGTGGGAAAGAGAAACAGATACCAGATAGGGCCCTAGTGAGGTACCTCTACCAGCCGGGGGAACACGAGGGTGATAGCCGTGAGCGAGCCACTGACCCAATATGGTCAGTCAAAACTTACAACATAGATAAAGTGGACATGAAAGCCGACGAGCCGAACTTGTACTACTTGAGAGATGGGCCAGGGAGAGGGTTTGTTAGAGAAGAATTATTGATCATACCGTACGGCACAATGTTACCCCCTACCAACGTGGCATAGCGGCACAGTAGTGCCACGTGTGGGCGGGAAATTAACGGGGGCTCAAAAGTAGTAGATGCAATGGTAGCAAGAGCTAAGGGTCCGACCAAAGCCTTATTTGTGAAATAAGGCTTTGCAGAGGCTTTTGTTGGACTTGGTCCAGGACTATCATTGTATATACTACTCAGTGTCACAAATCGCAAAGTTTCCGTCGCAAAAATCACAAAGACTCCACTCTCACTGTAACCAAGTTCCCTACCAGTGGGCTGGGATGATTCAATTATAATCCATGTACTGACAATGGTTAAATAGTTAACTCACCAGACACAAGCACAATGAGGATGTCATCCTCTCCAAGATTTGACACCAGTTTGTGGATTTCTTTAGCAGCCTTGAGAGAGTCCTCATCTGGGAGGTTATTCTGGGCTCCCTCATACACCATGATCTTACTGCTTTCGCCTCCAACAACATGTCACTGGGCAGAGTAACCAAATATCCCTTTAGGGGGCAACATTTATATTTCAAGTTAAAATGACAAACAATCATTTACTGATCTTACTTGTGTCATTTATTGATGATTTTAACTTTTTATCTTAAGTAAGCATGATAAGTATGACATGTTTGCTGTGTATAGCAGTTTCTATAAATAAAATGAACACACTTAGAAGTGATGGGCATAGGATATACGGACTGACGATAAACAAGACGTCCCTGTCGCCGATGGACACCTAAACGTTGGATAGCTATTGATGGGATAAACACGCACGCCGCATCGGGCATGAGAAAATTGAACCAAGAACATAGGTGTATATGTAAATACCATACCCTGTCAGGGTGACATTTCACGGAATCAGAGAAAGTTTGAGGCTATTTACTACAGCCCACGTGGGTACTGGAAAGGAGCTTAGCGCTGTACATAAGCTGGCTAAAATGGCTGAGTAGTACCCAAAACGAAGGCCAAAGCGTGGCTTGAAAAACAAGCCCTGTGGCAGATCTATTTACCACCACCACGCTACGTGCCTAGAAGGAAGTTTGGTATTAACATACCCAATAGCGTTCACCAGGCAGACCTACAGTTCCTACCCCACGACAGGGTGAGGCGCAAAACCTACAAGTATGCCCTGACTATCGTGGATGTGGCCAGCCGGGTATAAGGAAGCGGAGCCCTTAACAGCGAAAGATTCGAATCAGGTGGCTCAAGCCATGGAGCGTATATACAAGCGCAGTCCACTAACGTGGCCAGCAGAGCTCCAAGTTGACCCCGCCGGAGTTCATGGGTGTCGTGTCACACCTGCTGGATAAACACGATACCAAGGTCAGAAGCGTGGGCCGCCGAGCCCATCGCAGCCAAGCCATAGTTGAGAGACTATCATTGTATATACTACTCAGTGTCACAAATCGCAAAGTTTCCGTCGCAAAAATCACAAAGACTCCACTCTCACTGTAACCAAGTTCCCTACCAGTGGGCTGGGATGATTCAATTATAATCCATGTACTGACAATGGTTAAATAGTTAACTCACCAGACACAAGCACAATGAGGATGTCATCCTCTCCCAGATTTGACACCAGTTTGTGGATTTCTTTAGCAGCCTTGAGAGAGTCCTCATCTGGGAGGTTATTCTGGGCTCCCTCATACACCATGATCTTACTGCTCGCCTCCAACAACATGTCACTGGGCAGAGTAACCAAATATCCCTTTAGGGGGCAACATTTATATTTCAAGTTAAAATGACAAACAATCATTTACTGATCTTACTTGTGTCATTTATTGATGATTTTAACTTTTTATCTTAAGTAAGCATGATAAGTATGACATGTTTGCTGTGTATAGCAGTTTCTATAAATAAAAAAGTAGGGGGATTCTCATATCATTATCCAGTGTTCATTCCGGCCATTCCTAAAAGTGGAACCATGGCCCACCAGCCCTCAGTTATATTGGTCATTTTAAAAAATATTATGGGTCATGTTATATTGCTGTGACTTGTCAGCCATACAATTCTGATTACTTGTATGAGTTCGCTCACTTTTTTATAACTTTCAATTAAGGCATATTTCTGGTTTATTCCAAGATCTACTTTCTTAAGTTTTGCTTGCTTGTGTTTCAGATTTACATTTATGGATGTGCCGATGTGAGATGCTCGTCCCTGGACAGTGTGCCATGTTAAATATTAGTGCGTGAATGATGCAAGGGTGTGGCCCAGAATGAACTCTGCCTATGTACATCTTGTCCCATTAGTGTCACCAACCTACTATTATGTCATGTTAAGTTAGCAAGATGACATAAGAAATCTGAACATTACAATCACATCTTTCACTGTGATCTGACATTAGATTTTAATGAGATTTGATGCAAGGGTAATGGTATTCCAGCAGAATGTTTGGCATCTTAAAATTTATACATTAACCTCTGTTCTAAGAGTCACAATTATTCGGTATGTACATAAATACCAAAAATATATAACAGTGATACAACAAAACTGTATGAATGTTATATTATGATTAAACTTAAGGCCATAGCACTGATGCCATGTTGGCACATGATTTACGGTAGATACTCTTGTTATGGTCATTATTAGCACTGCACAGTATTGCTTGTGTACCACAATATGCTTTTCAAACGACATGTATAACAAATTCCTTTAAGGAAACGGGTATACTAGGTAAAAAAATTAAAAGACATTTTGTGATAATCTCCATTGTGTTAGTTAGATCTACACAAAACTTCCTTTCACAGCTGATGTTACCCTTCGTAAATGTTTAACAAAATGGCATACTTTCCATACTATTAATTATACTATAAAGTGTATAAAAAAGAACAAAGAATACCTATCTAACCAAATTTCAAGATTGTGTAATCAGAACTGTAACATTATATTTTCAGGGCTGCCATGTGTGGAAGCTAGGATCTGCTGGTAAAAACAGTGTCACTCATTGGCTTTAATGATAAACATATTAACTCCCATTGTACTGCAGTATGAATCACAATACAGGAACATGACTTGCAATACTAGTAGTGGTTTTGGTTGTTGGCTTATTTTTTTATACATGGGCAGTGGGGTAGTCTCATGCTTAAAGCATTCGCTCGTCACGCTTAGGACCCGGGTTCGATTCCCCACATGGGTACAATGTGTGAAGCCCATTTCTGGTGTAACCTGCCCATAATGGAATATTGCTAAAAGCAGCATAAAACTAAAACTCACTATTCCTATACAAGTGTCCAGAAAAATACATGGCAAGTTTGACTACCATTCAAGCAAAACAAATCCGGACACTTCAGGAAAGGTAACATATCAAAATTTGGACCTGTGACACTCTTATTTTTGTTCAGCGGCATACTTTAACAGACTTTGCTTGAGCAACAAATAGTCTTCTTTTATTCCACATATGAGAAATTAAGGATCAGCAGACCTGAAAACCTTTTACTAAAATATGTTTCCACTTACTTTTTATTTAACTTCTGTAACTGCTCCGTCGCCCCAACTGGAATGCTTATGATGCCCCTCACAATGTGTTCCCCCAGCATGTCCTCCACGACTCGTGCCATACCGCTGACCGCTTTACCAAAACCAACCACGAACACATTATGCTGCAGCTGATACTCCTTGCCTCCCACACACAGAGTCCTTGTCTCCTTCTTGTACGTCACTTCCCTCTCCAGCATCGGTCTCGGCATCACCGACTCCACAGCAGCCTGGAATATTTGTCTCGCATCCCCTTCCATTGAGTCTCTCTTATCAGCTTGCACAATTCCTGTCTGATAAAAATTTCCGACAAGTGTTGAAGAAACAGTTCTAGTCCTGAGGGAAATCTTTGGCTTCAAAACTGATCTTGTTCTTGACAGGGGGACAATGTTACGTACTTGGGACACAATGGTTTGGCTTAATGTCTTTCTAGTAAGCAACCTTACTGAAGGTAATGCACATCCCGAACTGAAACAGAAACAATTTGTTAACACATAGGCGGATCCAGAGGGGGTGTGCAGGTCCCCCCTCACTGCTGAAAGTTTGTTAAATGACCATTGAAACTCGGGTAAAAATGAAGTGTGCACCCCTCCTTTTCTCAATAGTGTGCACCCCACCTTTCTCAAAAAGCTGTATCCGCCCCTGTAACACTCTTTGTCTCAGAACATGAAAACATCACAGCCTGTTTGATAAATGAATTATTCAGAGTATGTACATGATCATATGTTTAACACAGACCACATACTAACATTCACATAAATTAGACCTGTACCTAATACCATCGATACATATTCATATAAATTACAAACCTATATCACAAACCTTGTGAAGCATATGATGACTGCTCAACCCTTGCCTGCTGTGTACAGGTCTATGTGGAAATGTGACCTAACCTAGTTTTAAAGTAAATATGTCCAACCAAGCTATCGTAACCTTCTAACATGACACCTTATCAGACTCAAGACACATTAATACAACTGACATTGAGGCCACGAAATATAATTCAAAACTTTTCAAGTCACGTTAGTTTTCCTTTGATAAGTAGTAGAAATACTCAGTTTTAACATAACAACTGAAATACATACAACATATTACATGAATACGAGTAATAAGAAAGGGAAAAATCTACTTTGATATCTAAAATGACCTAATTTCCACATAGTCTGTTGAGCCTCTCCGTTGTGTAGACATATGAAATAGGTTCTACTTTTAACAGTGCACATGTCAATGATGTGCTGTTTTGCCATACTTGTGGTATACAGATTTCTATTTTCCAGCCAGTAGGTTGTTGGATAAGGTGGAAAAACATATAAAATAAAGTTCATCAGGGTATTACACAACACAGAAATGTGCATCCAGTATGATTAAATGTATAGTATCTAAACAGTAAAAATATTGCATCCTTTTGGTCACTGTATCTAATTCTTGACAAAAAAATAAAGGTTATGTGATCAAGTAGTCATTAACTCCATCAAACGAATAGCGTCAGACCCCTCAGACAAATCTGGCAGATTTGCCGACGGTCCGCTGGAAGTCTACCACCCGCCGTCCCCAGTGTCCAAATATAGTTCACAATGACTTTGACTGAAGTTGTTATATGTGACATGTGACACTTGTTTGCCGTTTATAAATTTTACGTTTGTTAATAATTTCAATGCCAATTATAAGAAAGGTTTAATCTGAAATGTGTGTTTAATTTTTATACTAATTTGGTTCCTGTGAATTTTCAGTGGGTCAGACAGACATCTGAAACATACAGGATCCAATCTCCTGTTACTTTTAAACACCATTCGTGAACACTGCCAATCAGACCTTTTCATTACCGTATATGACTGAAGATAAGCCAAATTTTGAGGACCAAAGAATAGTTTGTAGAAAGGGTCGGCTTATCTATGGGTTACTCTTTCATCAAACACACACTTTAAATATTGGCTTATCTATGAGATTGTCTTATCTATGGTAATATACAGTACTTCACAGAACCCTCATAATTCCAGGAAAAAGATCCTTGAAAATAGTAACTGGATGTATTTTGGACCCTCAGTTTTGTTGGTTAAGGTAAAACCCTGTTTCCTATTTCTTCATCTCCTACAGATGCATTATCTACCTACGTTGCCATGTATGCAGTGACAGTTCAGCTGGTCTTGCAAATCTCAAAGTTCAATGTTATTAAAATCAGATGTTTTACTCCAGTATGATACTTCTATAAGAGATGATCTGAACTTTCTGTCAGCCAATGAGGATTGAGGTTCTAGATTCTCAGTATAATGTCAACGAATCATATACACAGTAACACACAACAGGGTGCTCGGATGAATGTTGATGGATATATGAGTTGTGTAAGGCTGCAATGAATACACTACGAGTTGAATACATGTAATGAATATAGAGAAATGATTATGAATATTTATTAACGAATACACTGACAAGTCAGCAACTGATGGATTTTTCAATTATATTCAGAGAAACAAAAAAATATACACATTTTTTACATTAGTTTAACCATGCTGACAGTGTTAATTTATCACGACAATAACCAGTGACTATAATAAGTGTCATATTGAATATATACTAGCCACATAAAGAAACTGTGCACACAGAAAATGCCTTCAGAATTGGAATACAACACAGCAAAGACGAAATGATGTAGACACTTTATAAGCTGAAGTATCGGACCACAAGAAAATGTCAAAAGAACATGAACAATATCCGTAACGATGACGTCAGAAGTTCAAAATCGAGTAGGGGGTCACACGACGAAGTCACAAAGTCAATAACGGGCATGACCACCGTGTGCGTGAAGCACTGCAGTGCATCAAAGACACATAGAGGCTACCAAATGGGCATTGAAGGCCTGGGGAATGGTCTGTGTGCTGTGTGCTGTGTGCCTATATTTATATTTTCTGTGTGCACGGTTTCTTTATGTGGCCAGTATATAAGTGATGACAATTATCCTGTATGGCTACAGTATTTCACACACAAGCACAAACGTAACATATGTTATATTTGGGATTACACTTTCTTAGTAAAGTACAGATTCTAGTACTTTTTGGGGTGGAGTCCAATCCAGGATTCGAACCCACACCCTCAGAGTCAGGCACCTAATCACCAGCACACAAAGTCAGACGCCTAGACCGCTCAGTAAAACAAGAAATAATATTGGTCTGGCCTAAAGTTATTATATCAGGTAATTATTCACATCAAACACCAGACACATTCCCCCAGTAATGCCTGTTTGTTTCTGTCTGTCTGTCTGTTTGTCGTTTAACACACCACTGAGCAATAGCCTAGCTATATTGGAGTGGTTATCTCTAAATAATCGAGTCTGAACCAAACAATCCAATGATCAACAGTTTGAGCATCGTTTTTCGTAACTGGGATACGATGACATGTGCCAACCTAGTCAGCGAGCCTGACCACCCGATCACATTAGTCGTATCTTAAAGCAAGCATGGGTTGCTGAAGACCAATTTTAAGCCAGAAATTCACAGGGGCAGTAACAAAAAAAGCAAGATTTATGGATGTCAACTAGGGCTGGGACGGATTACCCGGATACCCGGGACGGGTGGGTAATGAGTTGGACCCGGGTACCCATCTCAATACCCAGATCCATTATGATCATGTGACTAATAGATTTAACAATGTAATATGTTATTCTTTCATTATTAAAAGGTTGTATTGTCTTGGAAGATTTAGATATACTTTACAGTCACCTGTTTCGGATATAATGCATGATTAAAATATTTAAAAACTCGAAATTTTAGCCTCCGAGCTGAAGAATATATTGTCAGGAATTAAGATAACGAGTATCCGGGTAGTGTAGGGTAATAGGGGGTGGGGTACCCGGGTAGAAAATCTGGACCCATCCCAGCTCTAATGTCAACTTCTTCATTGTGAATAACACAATGTTTTGGTGTGTATGCTTGCTCCTTGATCAGGTGAAACATGTAACTGTTGGAAGGTTTTGCATAGTGAGTGTATCTGCGTGACATTGATAGTTTATTATTGTGACAATCAAAATATTAGCATGAAAATATATATATCCTAGAGGTTATTATGATGCAGTGCTAAATGGTTATTGTGTAAATTGTTCAGGTATTCTGTATCAGATACATTGTAACTTTACTTGTACCAGTTTTGGGGAAAACCAGTGTCACTTCAGTATGTCCTGAATATATTGGAAAACATTACAGTATTGTTTAAGTACATGTAATAATACATTCTGCATGTATATGAGGTGGAACTGTAGTATTGAAGTATTGAGAGAAGGGAGATCACTCTGTAAACCTTACTCTAACAAGATAATGTAAGGGAGATAATCCACATCATCCATCAATTAAACTTGGGTAATGTATATGGTTTCTGTTGCCACAATGGTGGGCAGATCAAATAAATGTGATCTGATCTGACACTCACTACTTATTATTTAAGAAACCTCCTTTGTGGTAGTGAAACAAAGGTGTTAAAGAAATAAAGCAAAATCATCTTAGAAAGCTGATATCTGATCTGCCAAAGAACTCGCATATCTTTCATATTTTACTGCCTCTATTTTTATTTAAAAGTTTACACCCACATGATTCTGTCAGCTAACCTTCATTATGAGTGAGTGAGTAAAGTTTTGTGCCGCTTTTAGCAATATTCCACCAATATCACGGCAGGGGACACCAGAAATGGGACTCACACATTGCATGAGGGGAATCGAACCTGGGCCCTTCAGCTGGCAACCCGACACTTTAACCATTAGGCTACCCCACTGCCCCCCCTTCATTATGAGGAATTAATAGGTTCAAATTAATAGAATTCTGTGTGCAAGAGTAAGATACATAAGAGCAAAGCTGGAATCACTCACAGAGAGTTTCAGTTTAGTCATGTACTGGTGGGGTCATTCACATTGTACATGCTTCTCCATAAACATCATTAACACACATACACACACCAGCCATAAATTTTGAACTGTCCCTAACTACTCAAATTGGGCCCTGAATTATCATGAAAACACTGGAAATGCCACAACGGAATGTCGGGATGGTGAGTTTATCTGATTTAACAATGTAGGCGCCAGTGAACTTTAAGCTGTGCAGCAGCTACAGCAGCCTAATAAGATTGATAATCGGACATATCATTGATGAGAAGAATTATTAACAATTACCGATATGAAAGTTGTGGTATCGAAAACATTGTACAAAATTTTGGGTGATGAAATATAGTTTTAATTTAAGCACACAATACACAAAGTTCGGTCTTAATTTATGGTCTGCTTCTAAATTACGTTCAGGAAGTTGTTTGTTAGTTATCCATGCATAAATATTAAGGCTGCAATGAATACTCTATGTGGCAAATTTGATATGTATCACGAATGTTGGGTAACGAATGTGAATAATTATTCACAAATACAATATTGTAGTTAAGTTATTGATGCACAATATGGAACGCCCATGTTGACAGTGTTAATTTGTCACAGCAAAAACCAGTGATCTCATGACTCTCTAATTTGGTATGCAATAGTTATAGTCGACTACCATATGTGGCCTTGGCAAACTAACATGACTAACGCTACTGCAAGGCTAGTACATATTCCATTCTTGCATATCTAACCTTGAAAAAGGACATAAGGGTTCAAGTAAAACATACTCCCTAAAAACTTCATAAATATTCATTAATATTCGGTTCCGGTGACCACGAATAACGAATTGAATTCATGAAGGTCTATGATTGCATTCACCGAATATGCGAGTGAATTTTTTTTTTATCGCTATATTTCTTTTTGATCTGGGTACAGCATTTCATGCACATTTAACAAGTCAGCATATTTGTTGTATTATATAGCAAGTCAAATTACAAAGTCATTATCTATGTAAATAGATTAAGACAACCAAACTGTAACAAAAGTGTCGTATTTGCAGTGAGAGTATGCATTAAATTTGTGTAATTGGTAATAGTAATTCAATTTTGGTTTCAAACCAGTGAGAAGGGACAATGTTTGCTACCTTTCTAGAATATATGTATTCTTTAGTTAATATGAAAATGACATTCAGTACATCATTTCTTCTCCCTTTGAAACCAGAATAAATTGTTTCTGCGTTTAATTTCTGTTTCATTTTCAATTCATTCTAGTAGATCTTGCCACAGCTTTTTTACATGTTTGCATTCATATAATAAATGAATGATTGATTCTATTCCAACATCACAAAATGTACAAAGTGGTGATTCTATTAGTTTGTATTTTGGTGATTCTATTAGATTGTAACAGCCTTAATAAATATGTCACCACTCACAGGTGACATGAAATATACTGATTTCTTTCTAACTATTTTGGCAATTTTGCTCAGTTACTTCTCCGATATTTATCGATAATTAATCAATATTTAGTTACGGCTTATCAGTGTGTATAATCTATATTGAAAGCTAGTCCTAGCAGCAACCCCCATGTGGGAAGCATGATACAGTCACTGCTCTAAACCCCTCATGCACTTGGCAACTGTGGGCCATTGTTACTGTTAATACTGTTATCATCAGTAGATTTGACTGCTGTACAGTGAATGCCTTGACGTCAGGACCAGGAAATACAGGGTCTGAGAGAACACGTAACTATTCAGACCAGAGTGGTAAAATGTGACAGATAATTCCTTGTATGTTTGTTTGGTTTTGTTGTTTAATGCTAAAGTGAAAGACAAATATTATGGATGACAACTCCTTTATTGCATGTCACAACATTTCTGGGCTATTCCTTGCCCCTTCATCAGGTTTAATGCTGCATCCAGCATTGTTCAAACTTTATGATGGTGGTCTGTAAATACCAGACCAGACAATGCAGTGATTGACTTTATAAGCATTGATCTGCGCAGTGAGTCTGACTATATATGTCAATTCGATCACGGTTAGTTAGTTATATTGTATAACAGGCACTGAAACTTGTCATTGAACAATATCAATACTAAGCCGTACAATAACCCATTAAAATGTATTTATTGGGGCAGTTTTGTCTTAAATGAGATAATTTTGGAGAGAAATTGTCTTCCTTTTCCCCCAAAACTTATCAGCAAAATATGAGACAAACAGTCAGACCCCACACCCCACGCCGAACGCACGCAAGCACACACACACATTCAATCCCAAAATATCTCAATGAATAAGTGCACCCTAATCAATGAATAGGTACACCGAACACATTGGGGCGACAGACGAACGGATGGCAATCATTCGTCTATTAAGAAGACCAACGATGTCCACAATGACGATGTCAAGCCTCAAGGTGAGGCGTCCAATCTCTAAAGCATGCGTCGAATTACGACTTGACCTATTTCACTTAGACGCCGAAGACAATTTTCTCAAACCATTTAAAGTGTAATCTTGCCTAAAACATAAAGCATAAATGAAACGCTATGTTTTCGTAATTTTCAATGTCATTGTCAAGTTTGCCCTTTCCTTTGCCTACACTTGCTTTGGAACTCAAACTATATTGTAAAATTACACAAACCGGGTAAACAATAGGTAAAGGTTGACTTACAAGCAGGCGGTCATTGTGATCAGGATGTCTTCAAACGTGAGAAGAACACCACTGAGATTGTCAACACGGACATATTCGTCGTCTGCAACTCGGAAGTTATCGCTGATACTCCATTCAACCATTATGTTAGTACAATGTGAATGGATAAAGGAGTTGCAAATACTGTTCACTTCGGGTGTTTCCGTGAGACCATTTATCCGAGAAACTATCCTACTGTTGAGTGTGTGTCGAATGGGAAAAATGATAACTCCGCAGAGGAACGAAACATAAATATTGAATAACAATTCCGCAATCGCGTTCGTTTTCACTAAAACGGTAATAAAAATCTATAAGAAAATTAGGAACCAAATTTACACAGATATTTGTTTTTATGACCTATTTACGTATTGACAGGACAGGTCCGCACTTGTTAGTAGCCCGCCATGCTACCTCGGAAAAATGAAGCTCTCTGATCGTACAGTCATTAATTTCAAAGTAGCAAAGATATTCAGAGAGAATACGGATAGAATAAATAGTGTAGATTTCGCTGTCAATGGCGAAACAATAATAACAAGCAGTGAAGATGATTCTATTGTCATATATGATTGCTTAAACGGAACGTAAGTGAAGACTGCAAATTGACACCGGCTCTCCCCGAGACAAAACAATAGTCTATTCATTGACACCCTTATTTACATGTTATATCCCGACTATGACACGTTAACAGTGGACATTTAGTAACGCTTATATTTCCAAGGAACACATATTTCAAAGACGAATAAGGCAGGCGATGTTCGTGCATGCAGTAACAGTATTTCAGACGTGCCCTGGGAGCTACAAAACCGAAATATGCACATGACCTTATTGGCTGATGGCCGACTTAACACTAACGTTTGATTGTCCTCATCAATATATGTGCCCCGATACAGACCCTACTCAATGTCAAAATATTGTCCTTTAATGGTGTTAAAATTAAGTTTTGATGGATGTTGTGACTGTTGGATTATAAGAATGAAATCTTAGTGAACCTAGTGTGACCTATTTACAAAAAAATGTTATGAATATTGTTCCTTGCTGTTTCAGTGGATTGAATATGTGTAATAGCCTCAGTGTTATTGGTTTATGTCATGAGAACATGTTTGGATAAATACACAGTTTGAACAGGCATAAACATGCGTTTATTCGTAGAGAATGTAATCAAAACAATGTACTGTTATGAACTGAGGCAGATATTTACAACAGGTTCAAAAACATCATGCTCATATGGTCATGGTTGTTATTTTGTCTTGGCTATAACACGCATATGAGTGAACTAGTGTGTTTGAAAGACAATCGTAACGCTAGTTTAATTTCAAATATGCACAAATAGTAGCATTATCAAATATTTAGTGCGGAAGCAGCCTATGATGCTGCTCCCCCTCCTCCCCAAGACAAATAATAAGGAAGTTTTTCCATTTCAGACCTAAAAGGACCTTGAACAGCAAAAAATATGGAGTGGACTTGATACGCTATACACATGCAGTCAACACAGCTTTGCACTGTTCAACCAAAATCGATGGTAAGCAACAACATATAAATTGGAAAGTATTCTGACTTATTGTTGTCAGGATGAAAATAAGGAATATATTCAAGTAATATAGTTTGAAGTTTAGGGATGATACGGTCGGAAGTCTTTGCAGAGTTAGCAGTTAAAAGGGTTGGCTGTAGCAGTACCATGGAATTTGGTGCTAGAATATTGGTCCTCAGAAACCTATAGTGATTGTTAGAGTTGATATACAATATGGTGGTCAGGCTGAATGACTTGGCTTATTGCCTGTCCCTGTATTCTGTTGGCTGAGTTTATTGTTCACAATATCAACCTCTTGACTATTTATTATTTATTGGCCACCATTTCATACTTGGAATGCACAGGGATTTACCTTGAGTCCTGTATTTGAGGGTCCCTGGGACTCATACTGTTAATTTTCAGGGGTCCTGGACAACAAAATGGAGGTCCCAGGCACTTAAATATTATTTACAGAATAAAAGAAGTTGTATATCCATAATAATTGTCATTATTCTTCATCAACTCAACTTCTAAAATGCCCATCAAAGAAATAATGTTATTGTATTGTGTATCATGATCATCACTTGAATTTTACACTAATTAAATTGCAATACCATAACCCAGCTAGGAGCAAACTCGGTGATAAGTTATTGTTACTTGATTGGAATTTTTACAAAAAGTACTTGGACTTTTTCTGTGTCCCTGTGGATGCGCTTATAAATTTTATTGCGTCCATTGTCAACTTTTATGCGTATAGGACACAGGAACTTGCGTCCTGTAAATCCCTGGTTGATGGAATGAATATTGCTGGTACACATGCATTATACCGGATACCTGCCTGTCATATTTAATTAGGTCACGTGATGCGAGTGCGGAAAGGTGAAAAAATATAAAACTGTGATGAAAATAACCCTAACCCTAATCCGAATCCTAACCCTAACCTAACCCTAACCCTGCTAGGTATCTGGTATAATGCATTCTAGCCATATTGCTGAGTATGGAGAAGCAAACATATATACACTGTTTACACTACAGTGTTTGACAATCTGAGCTAATGAAATGCAGTGTATGCTGATGTGTTCCAGATTGTGAATAGAATGTAGAATTTACACCATGTGAATTTTTTGTTTCAGATACCATACGGTATTTATCGTTGCACGACAACAAATACATCAGATATTTTCCAGGGCACACAAAAAAGTAAGTATGCAACATTTAGGAGAGTTATGCCCCCTGCCACCCACATGTGAGACGGCGGACGTAAAGCCAACAATAGACACGGGGAGATTTGCTACGGTTGATGAAGTGGGATTAAGGGGAATCATGGACACTTTATCCAAAGCAACTGAAAGAAACACCGTATGGGGTGTAGAGATCTTCAAACGTAAGACATCCAAAAATGTAAACAAACCGAGAAATTTAGAGTTATGTCCCCTGCCACCCACATAACAACAACATTGAACAATGTTGAACACACCTGAAGACCTGAACATTGCGTTTTGTTTGTTCACTGTTCATAGTAATAGAGCACATGGGCAGTAGAAGCTCTTCTGAGTCAACAAAGTTACCTAATTGAAAACGATATATCAAGATCATGAGCGCATGATAATGCATGTTGATTTTACTATCTTGATGCGAAAGCCCCCATTCTACAAATAAACATTTTAGACGCAGCAAATATCTGCAGAATGGTGTAATTAGGAGATAAACATCATGTGTTGGGTTATTTCCGGGTGTTATTGAGTACTTGAAGCATGGGAATTAATTTGGAACCGATGGCGTCAGCTGGAGGTTTCAAATGAAATATTCCCGTGCTTCAAATACTCAATAACACCCTGAAATAACCCAACACATGATGTTTATCGACATTGTAAACACAAAAGTAAACCAAAAGGTCCACACACATTTTTGTGTCTGCACTCATTGACATCGAGTACGGGTACAGCAATGAAATGTCATCAGCCGGCCGTTTCGGCTGTCTCCCATGGTAGCATCTGGAACTGTTCATTTGCGACGTCATTCGGACTTTACGTCACAATATACGATGTAACAATACAATGGTGTGAGCGATGTTAGTATGTATTAATACGCAGCGAATTTCCGGGAATCAAATACCATTTGATCATGTTTTTCAACCAATCAAATTAAAGAACACAGTGACTTTTGGTTTACAATTTCTGAGAGATGGTATTGCTCCAGATAACATGCCAAAATGATGCAGTTCAATTTCAATGATTTTTATCTACCGATCACTTGTATTATTACTCTTTGTCAACACCCCTTTATTTTACAAACACTGTATTCCTGAATGATGTGTATACGTATAGCTGCACCTAAATTGATAAATTGGGGATATGATTCAATTCACAGAACATGCAAGTGAATCATAACAGTCCCAGTAGTTGCTATTTTTAACCAACAAATCAAAAGTCTGGTTCCAGTAAGGCCTAATAAATAAAATGGCCTGATTGGTCGGATATCTGCTAATATTTTTCTAGAAGTAAAGTACAAACTAATAACACATTTATTAATAATTGTTTATTCAGAAGCGCGGCCATTATATCGAGTACATGCATTAGGTTTCAAACAAAGTACATTCAAGGGTCATGGATCTGAGTTCATTTGATATTTAGGATTAAGAAATGACCTCATTTCGATCAGGAGCCTTATGGTATGTGCTAGGGATGCAACGATTCACCCAGACCTTGATTCAATTGGATTCTATTTTTGATATTGGACCCTCGGTTCAATCATTGTCGATTCAATTCTTGATAGATATGAAAACATCAGATTTCATTTAAGTCTCAGAGTCGGCGTTTTCTGCCTGAAATCCATCGCCAACTTGGCAAAGTCTACTAACAATTGTCATTGGATAATTAGCCCGGCGTCAAGCAATCATGTTTCGCCTTATTTCAGCGCTCAAGTTGGAGTAAAAATTACGTTCCTGCTGTGTGGAAATAATTTAAATAGGTATTCAAATATCAAATCGAAATAGTGATAATGGTTATCGAAAATCAAAACTAAGGTGTCGGATTCAATTTCGGTGTCGGATTCAAAACAGAATTGTTGCAGACAAATATGTGCTGTCCATCAGTGGTGTTCCAATTTATTGAAATAATCGAACACTTGTTTCATGAACAGTATTTTCCACAAGGTTGGTTTTGTCTGGTACATTTCATAAGCATTGCAAGCTCATTCCTTGTCATGATTTCAATTGTCTTAAAGACTCCAGGAAATTTATGTTCCTAACATACTAGTCATCATTTAAAGATGTGAAATTTGTAAATGCATTTTGTGCAAATTGCAAAGCAACTAAAGATCTGTATGTTTCTTCTTTATTTTTTGTGCATTAACAAACATAGCAAGAAAAATTTGATAAATGATAAATATTTTTGATGATTGATCGTTGGTTGTAATGAACCAATCCTCAATTATGACACTTTAACCAATTCCCAACACTACTTTGCATATACCTTCAGTGTCGCTCAGTGTTAGATTTCAAACAAAGTCATAGTATCTACATCCTTGTGAAGTATTCATGATGATTCAACTCTCGCTCTTCTAATTAATGCAAATTATTCTATAACTCACCAAATCAGCCATACAAGTATGGATATGATTAAGGACAATTGTAGAAATTGGTTGTCAGATTTTCAAGTCCATGTTGTTTAAACATTCCCAACTGGATGGTAACTGGTCTGATGGCGCTGATGGTCATAATGCTTCTTGTCTTGTTTTCAGAGTCGTGACATTAAACATGTCCCCCATAGACGACACATTTTTGTCTGGGTCCATGGACAAGACAATCCGTCTGTGGGATCTGCGATCACAAAATTGTCAGGTAGGTAACAGCAGTTTAGCTCCTCAGACAACTCATGCATAAATGGGCTTATGTAAGGAAGTAGGTGTCTTTAGAAAAAATAAATGCGAAATATAAAACTAAGGCCAAATACAAAAAATGTTGTGGTTCCGATTACACCTCTTTAAAATTTAGGGTAGGTAGGTACCATAGCCCAGCTAGCAGCAAACTCAGTGACAGCGTATTGTCACTTGATTGGATTTTTACAAAAAGTATTTAGACTTTTTCTGAGTCCCTGTGGACGCACTAATATATTTTGTTGCGTCCATTGTCAATTTTTATACGTATGGCACGAAGGAATTCGTGTCCTGTAAATCCCTGTGTGTGATTCTTTTACGGAATGAACAGCTGCATTGTCAGACAATTTCCTGATAATCTGACCTTAGTTCCTTTTATTTGAACACCAGAGATCTGCGAACATCTTATTAAAGGTCATTTCAAAACAATCTTTCATTGTGGATGCAGAAGGGATGCACAAAAATATGAACTGAAGTAAATTCTCAACAGGAAGGCTTATATGAATATAATGATTACATCCTACTGTACAGTGTACTGCATGTACTTAACTACTTTTCAGGATATGTCCTGTAAAGACGCTTGAAATTAATGATAAGGGTTTGTCTGTGGCCATAGTTTTGTTGGGCAAGGGAAACCCTGTTATGATGATAAGTTTGAATCCCAGTATGGCCAGCCTTATGTTTCTTGGTTTAAGGCAGCAGCACACAGGTGCTCATGGGTTTCATATGAAGCTTTGTTCCCTCGTTGAGCTGACATACCATGGTATTTTAGGATACTATAAATATGCAGAAATGCTATGCAACGTGTTCCAGCACAAATACCAACCACTCCTATTTTCGCGGAGTTACTCTGATTTTCAAATACAAAATCTGCTCTCCAATTTCTTGTTTAAAAACTCTGATTTTTTTAGAAAAAATTCTGAATTCATTTTTATGGTATGCAATTTCGTAAGTCACTGGTGATTTATTTGAGTGAACACTGGTAAAAGCATTCAGAAGCTTAGCGTGTGATCCTTTGGGTGTCGATTGTGTACATTGCGTGTTATTGACGATGGAGTTTCACAAAGTTTTTCCTGAATGCATGTCATAGACCGTATGAAAGTGAAGCAAAATGGCAGAGATGACCACGCGCTCACCCCCAACTCTCACCTTTGGTGCTCAGGGCTGGCTTTCAGCCAGTCATGACTCCGTTTTCCGACAGTCATGACTCCGTTTTCCTTAGATTCAGGGTTGGCATCTCTGGTTCCAAGCAGTATATGACCAACTCTCTTTCTGTAGATGTAACTGGTTTGTTCCTGGTGATTAGGGGCAGTGGCGTAGTCTAGTAGTTAAGGCGTTCGCTCGTCATGTTGAAGACCGGGTTTGATTCCCCACATAGGTACAATGTGTGAAGCCCATAATTCTGGTGTCCACCGCCGTGATATTGCTGGAATATTGCTGAAAGTGACGTAAAACAATACTCACTCACTCCAAGTGATCAATCATCTCTGATGTTAAATTTGTTAATAATTTAAAAGGCTGTAAGACATTCATAACATACAGTGTTCCTAATCACTTCGTTTTAGAAGTTGAGTTCATGTGATGTGTGTTATCAAGCTCACACGTTGTTGCAGGGACTGATGAACCTTTCTGGGCGACCTGTGGCAGCATTTGACCCAGAAGGATTGATTTTTGCAGCCGGAATCAATTCTGAATGTGTGAAGTTGTATGATCTTCGCTCATTTGACAAGGTAAGAGAGTGCATTGTCATCTTGAGAAGTGTAACAGTCATTCATTATCTTTAGCATGTTAAACATAAGCAGATGAATTCAAACTGCATGTGGATAGTAATTGAAATACTTCAGTTACCATTATTTTTCCTTATCCTGACTCATGCTCTTTTTGCTTGTCTTCTTCTTCTTGCGAACATAGTGGAACACTTGTATCTCCCTAATTGAAGCTCCCTTCAATTTAAAATCACTAATTAGTATTCACCACGAGTTACCTCCTTTCCACAAGCGCGGGGACGAGGGCGCCACCTCTACCCATGTGCCTCACTCTCTCCTTCTTCGCCCAGTGAGCTGGACGTGAGAGCGCCTGTGTCTCCCGACACACTATATCCTTTGATTATATTTAGTTAGTTACCTCGTATAGACATCTATAGAGGTTTAGCTAGTATCCTTCAACGATTATATATTGATATTTAGTGGTTTTTCTACAGTTTATTCACGGGGCCCGTGTTTTGTTTCCAGTGGATTACGTTGATGAAAATTCTGTACTATTGCAGATTACGTTTTTATGCTGCTGCTGATCCACCTTTAATATGATGCATATGCGGTAGCCATGTTTATTATATTCACATTGCAGTTCGCGGTACTAATTTATCCAATTCTACCTCTTTATTAATATTTACTTTGCGTTTGGCACGCACAGCAGATAGGTCGCGTATGCAGAGTCTAGTATGACTGATACGGAACCCCTCGCCAGTCTACTGCTGTTGGCCGACTCCCCTCCCGTGTGGTGTTCGCTAGAGTGGTGGAGAGGTGTGGGGCGTAGTCCGCCATCTCAAGAAGCATTCTGCTTCCCCAGACATCCCATCGTCGCAGCAGAAGACTAGAGGGTTTTTCTACTACATCTCAACAACGAGACCGTTCCCATCGAAGTTTGGGCCTGTATGATGATCAGCCGGTCATCATACGGATGTACATCAAAGATTGACCGATGTCGGCACAGATCAGCATGCAGCCTGATGTACCAAGCGCAGATATCGCGATGATGATCGTCCTGAGGTCCCATCATTACCAACACTCAAGCGCCAGGCGTCGCACACCCAGGGCAGCGTCGACCTCTGAGGGAAAATCAGCGAAGTCTACTAGGACTTTCTCAGCGAGATTGTTCCAGCCGATGACCTGGACCTCTACGATGATCAGCTGATCATCATCCCGGCAATCACGCCACAAGAAGCGACCGGGGACAGCTACAACGACATCAGCAGAGATCACCATGCAGCCTGATGCCTCTACACTGATGTCGGACGATTTTCCGGTGGACCCCTCCATTAACACGCAGATAAAGCACCGGCGACCTCGTCGCAGACCATCCCAGAAGACATGATCGACGACAAATTATGAACATCATGGAGGACCAATATCTCTGCGGTAGCAGGGTCCGAGCCGCCAGCGAAGGCTCCAACGTGAACAACACCCAGAGGCACCCCCGTCAGCGTAGCAGCCAGGGCGATGTCACCTTCGGCGAAGGAAGTCACGCGACCACCACCTTGGCCGAAGGACCTAGATGTACAGCCTTGGCGAAGGCCTTCGGGAAGGCGGAAAGGACCTAGATGTACAGCCTTCGGCGGCGGAAAGAACCTAGATGTACAGCCTTCGCGCGAAGGACTTCGCGAAGGCAGGATAGATCATCACCTTATGCGGTTTCATCCCTAGATGTGGACTCGGACCATCAGACATCACGGAAGCCTTCGAAGGTCATATCGTCGTTCCCCGGACGGGACGCTTGAGGAAGCTTCGAAGGCATCTTGTGAGACACCTGAATCAGATCATCATCATCTAGAAGGACATCGAGGGACTATACAAGAGCTTGGCGAAACTATCAACGTTCCCCTCACAAGTCTCCGAGAAGATCAACCCATAGACAAGTTGATCATCGATATCAAGTATAAGAACTACAATCATATATTGGTTCTGTTGAATCCATGGCGAGGCGTATGTTAAGCTGGCCTAAATAGATCTAGAGCGATCAATTAGACACTTATCACCAGACTTAAGTAACCGACTTCAGATATGATAAGATGATCCATGCGGCCATACTTAGGCAAGCCGCCCGATCCACATCCTGTTAAACACAGAGGCTGTTCCACGAAACAAGCTCATATATATATTTATATATATATATATATATACTAATCGGGCTTTGACTTCGACACCTTAGCGATGATTCGCGAAGGCTAAGTAACTCAAGTCTACTTCACCCAGAAGATCTAGAAGGGATACTTGAGAACTTCGCGAAGTCTCAGCGTTCACGAGGAAGTCTCCTCCAAGGTTTCCATATACTAGCCACTTTCGTCATATATAGCTACTTTCGTCAGTCCGTTCAAGGCGTCGCATAAGTTGATTATCAACTGTATGCCAGATGCCGTCTATAAGCCTCTGGCGAAGATAATTGCTCAGGCTATTTACAACACAGAGCGTCGCTGTATTATTAGTCAGCGACATTTCATAGATCTTCACAGAAATCAACTATTCCGTATAAATTGCTAATATACAATCCCGGACGGCCGATCGATTATCTACATGCGTGACCATTACGCATATCTGCAGACAATTCAATATCGAAATTGAACAGCAGCCTTGTTACAGCGAGTATAACTCTTAATCGTCAAAGTTTCTGAGAAGAAATATGTACAACAAGTTCAGCGTTAATTCTACAATTATGACGATACATTCATGTATACAGTCTACAAGCTCACAACTTGCAAGTTGTTTATACCCTTATATATAAGGAAGTCGAATTATATTCAAAACTGAAATTACTTTCCGACAACCAGGAAAATAACCTACCCAGCATAAAATTACAGGCGAGATATTTGGCGCGGAGGTTTCAGCGGGTTACCATTAACCCTCGAAACACGTGGTCACTCGGATAACCCGGGAAGCTACGGTGAAGACCGGCGTTTATGCTAATATCAACGACGACAAGAATTTATTCAAGGTGGGTTTTCCGCTACACCGGTGATGACATCACAGCGGGTATTATACAGAATCAAAATGCCTTGTTCTGATTGGACCCGCGAGGGACAACGACCTACACAGAGGTCGATCTCTGTTCACAGTTCAAGACTTACGTCACAAGTGACAACTATATATCAGTGAGCGAGGCAAGCCTCATTACAGTCCAGTTAACCTGAACATTCATGATTAGACTGCCTTTCTTCAAGATAGAGACCTCCCCTGTCAAGTTAAGGCGAGGGATGCGGCAGTCAGGCGATTTTACATAAAGTTCAGCGAGGACAGACACACCTGGTTGTGCACCTACATCGTCAAGGACTTATGGCGAATTACCTGAGGCGAAAGATACAAGTGGATCTAAATCCACAGCGTTTCAGACTACAGCTGAATTTCATCAAGCGACTAACACAACTAGATGGTTAGTAAACCTACTAAACTTCTGTTTGGAGAATAAACGAAATTTCACGCCCAACCTGGGGATATGAATATAGTGCTCCAACACCTCACAAGTGAGGTTTATGAACACGCCTGGATGACATACTTGGACCCCATGATACGATGATTCTATCAAGATGGCCAGCAAGAGCACTGTAAATTTATCTCCACCAAACCAAACAGGAGTAAAAATGCAACAGATTATTTCCTCTATCATCAACTTACATGAGAGAGAAGTCTCATGTACTATATCTCCATTTGGATCAGAACTGTCATACTACGTGCATATCTTGGATGGACCTATTCCGACCCTCCATGAGCTTAATACTCATGATATTATAGCTAACTTCTACAATTGTTCCACACAAATGTGATTGAAATATTGGAGGTTTTATTTCTGGAGATCCGATATGGTGGTTGCAAACCATTATCTGAGAGATATCACCACCGAGGGCGTCTCAGGTATACACCAATTCGATCCCATGGTCCTCGCACAACAGCTGACAGTTCCTCGGAGAAGATAAGTCAATCTAACAGATTTTTACTTATCTTATAACAATACTAAATAGCTTCATGCTATATATAATTTACTTAAGTTCCTTTTATCATCACAGTACTATGATTATTACATCATACAATATATAAGTTAACAACTCTACAGAGTTTGTTATTATATATATTTACCTTAAGTTATTCATATCTTAAGAGTAATATTATGGTTACATGATAAATGCATCAGCTAACAAACTCTACAGAGTTTTTGGCTATTTTATACATAGCTTAAGTTAATTAAGCTAACAAACTCTGAGAGTTTTACTATTATGTAGGTAACTTAAGCTAATTATACCTTAAGCATAGTACTATACTCATATTATTAAAATATATTGGCTAACAAACTCTAAGGAGTTTTGCTATTATATAGGTAGCTTAAGCTTATTCATATCTTAAGCTTAGTACTATGTTTATATCATATAAGTAGATTAGCTAACAAACTCTAAAGAGTTTTTGCTATTTGGCTTAAGTATCATCATATTTCTAAGCAATATGGTTATATTATAACATGTATTAGCTAACAAACTCTACAGAGTTTTAGCTATTATATATGTAACTTAAGCTTATTCATATCTTAAGCAGTACTATGTTTATATCATATAGGTATATTAGCTATCAAAACTCTAAAGAGGGTTTTGCTATTATATATTTAAGCTTAAGTTTCATCATATTTTAAAGCTTTATAGTTACATTATAACATGTATTAGCTAACAAACTCTACGGAGTTCTTGCTATTATATATGTAGCTTAAGTTTTCCTTCATAAGCTCAATACTAGGTTTATATCATAGCTAACAAACTCTAAAGGGTTGTTTTCGCTATTATACAATTAGCTTAAGTTTTCATCATATCTTAAGCAGTATGGTTACATTATAAAGGTATTAGCTAACAAAAACTTCGACGGAGTTTTGTTATTATATATATATAGCTTAAGTTTCATCATAACTTAAGCTCAGTACTATAAGCTTAGTACTATGGTTACACTATAAACATATTAGCTAATAAACTCTACAGAGTTTTTTGGCTATTATATATGTAGCTTAAGTTAATAATATCTTAAGCACAATACTATACTCATATTGTAAAATATATTAGCTAACAAACTCTCACGGAGTTCTGCTATTATATATGTTGCTTAAGTTCATTATATCTTAAGCACACTACTATACTCATATTGTAAAAATATATTAGCTAACAAACTCTACGGAGTTTTGCTATTATATATATGTAGCTTAAGTTAATTATATCTTAAGCACACTACTATACTCATATTGTAAAAATATTTTAGCTAACAAAACCCTACAGAGTTTTGCTATATATATGTAGCTTAAGTTAATTATATCTTAAGCTCAGTACTATACTAATATTATAAATATATATGATAGCTAACAAACTCTACAGAGTTTGGCTATTATATATGTAGCTTAAGTTAATTATAGCTCACAGTACTATACTCATATTATAAAAATATATTAGCTAACAAACTCTACTAGAGTTTGGCTATTATATATATGTAGCTTAAGTTAATTATAGCTTAAGCACAGTACTATACTCATATTATAAAAATATATTAGCTAACAAACTCTACAGAGTTTTTGCTATTATATATGTAGCTAAAGCTTATTCATATCTTAAGCTCAGCATTATATCTATATCATATAAGTATATTAACTAACAAACTCTAAAGAGTTTGCTATTATATAATTAGCTTAAGTTTAATCATATCTTAAGCTTAGTACTATGTTATATCTTAAAGTATTTTAGCTAACAAACTCTAAGGAGTTTATACTAGCATATTAACAAGCTTAAGTCTATTAGTCTTAAGCATTGTATTAATGTTATATATACTTTATCATAATAAGTACATGGTAATAACCTTTTATATGGCAGCTGATAAGTTAGCAGCAGGAATTCATCAATTCAGTGCCTTTATGAAGTTCCCATAGGGTTATTACAATCATCACAGTTCAAATCACTAATTATTAAAATCCAAAGTATTAGATATTCCCACCTCCGTTCCGTAGGGATGCTACAAGCAAAAGAGCATGAGTCAGGATAAGGAAAAATATGTAATTTTGGAGTAAAATTGATATTTTATACTTATCCTGACTCATGAGGTCAGCCCTCCCATCCTCCCCAAATAACACTTTGGATTTCCCTGTAAATTCAAATGTTGGGCTCAGTATATGAGGAGAGAGTGAGGCACATGGGTAGAGGTGGCGCCCTCGTTCCCGCGCTTGTGGAAAGGAGGTAACTCGTGGTGAATACTAATTAGTGATTTTAAATTGAAGGGAGCTTCAATTAGGGAGATACAAGTGTTCCACTATGTTCGCAAGAAGAAGAAGACAAGCAAAAAGAGCATGAGTCAGGATAAGTATAAAATATCAATTTTACTCCAAAAATTACATTTTTGCTGATATTAAGCTTATCTTTGCCATTTGATATGATGGCATTTGAGAGTACCAGATTGATTCTGCTCAACATTTGCCAAGGACCACACCTTTAACTGAACATGCTAAGGATGACTTGTCCCTTAGCGAATGTTGAGTAGTATATCATTGTTCCTTCGTTGGTTGGTTGGTTTGTTGTTTAAAGCCGCTCTCAGCAATATTCCTGTGGCAGTCTGTAAATAATTGAGTTTGGATCGGACAATCCAGTGATCAACATCTACGCAATTGGGATACGATGACATGTGTCAACCAACCAATCAGTGAGCCTGTAAAACTAAACTCATTCACTCATTGTTTGTTGTTGATTAACGCCGCACACAGCAATATTCCAGCTATATGGCGGCGGTCTGTAAATAACCAGTCTGGACCAGACAAGACCCTGGTTAGAACCGTTCTTAGTAACGTGTGCTTGCCATAGGAGGTGACTAGGTGATGCTCAGGTTAAGTCCAAGGCTTGATGCATGACATTGTATCCCAAGTTGCATAGATAAACGTCGCTGGATTGTTTGGTACAAACTGCCATCATACAGCTGGAATACTGCTGAGTGTGGCGCTAAACAGCTAATACCCTCATGATTAGAGGTGAAACGGTACGCTCTTACTACGGTACGGTAAGTATTGCGGTACAAGGCCTTTGATTCGGTGTATGAGACGTGGTCATAATGCAGAAAATTGTCAACATGGGCCAAACCTAGATAGATTTTGACAAAATGATTTGATTCCTAGAAATTTTAGAAAAGGTTTAAAATGGTTATTAAAATGATGTTATGAAAACCGAAAATACCGAATTTTTGGGATTGTATTACCGTATACCGAACCAAAGGCCAAATACAGCAGTTCTACTAATACTGCTGTATACCGTTTCACCCCTACTCATGATGCAAAGGAATTGTGTTGACATGGTTTTGATCTGATTCCAGGGCCCATTCAACGTCTTCAGGCTGCCACAAGACAAGGACTGTGATTGGACACAGCTCAAATTTAGCCCAGATGGGAAGCTTATTCTCATCTCAACGAACGGATCAGTACTCCGCTTAATTGATTCATTTCAGGGGGCACCTCTTCAAATATATGCAGTAAGTATTTACTGTTATCATTATTGTAGGAGCGGTGGTGTAGCCTGGTGGTAAAGCGTTCATACGTCATGCCGAAGGCCTGGGTTCGATTCCCTACATGGGTACAATGTGTGAAACCCATTTCTGTTGTCTCCACCGTGATATTGCTGGAATATTGCTAAAAGCGGTGTAAAACACTCACTCACTGTCATTATTGTGTAAATGATATTTTACATGACATTTATAAATGTATACGCCAACAATGGTGCAAATTTATTATTTATAACACGTTTTTATATATCGGGCGCATACATAATTTCAAGCAATGTCAAACTTTCGGAAATCAGAATACTGAAACTTCCGGAATTCAAATGGGGCTTGCTAAGCTGTGCACATAGCTAGTACGTCTATTTGCATTCAAAACTTTAATGTGAATCGCTGTTAGGAGCTCGTTTCGCTGTACAGAGCTCAACTTGATGTACAGAGTTCATCATCGAATCTTTTTGGTTGTCAAAATGTCAAAGAGAAGGATTACGGATATTTTTTCTGGCTGGCAATCCGAAAAATCCATCACTTTTGGTTATTGGTCCAAATTTTCTAAAGGTTGGCCCCTTCCAAAGAAATCATGGCTGCAGCACTGTATTTAAGCATGATAAAGTGCCTTACATGCAACACGAATTGATGCTCACTGTTGCCATACAATATTATTACCATGATCAGAGCTCATTGAAATATCATTTTCGTGTGATTGGGTAGTATATTGAACCAGGGAATTCATGGGTTGTTGGTAGCAGCTTCAGTGAGTGTTTGAGTTTAATTTTACTCAGCACTCAGCAATATTCCAGCTATATTGCGGCGGTCTGTAAATAATCGAGTCCAGACCAGACAATCCAGTGATCAACAACATAGCAGCTTCAGTGCTAGAGGGACATGTATGTGATGGGGGAACATAGATGTATGTCCACTAACTGTTCCATCTTTGTGTTTCAGGGGGTCACCAACCAAAGGGGGTGCCACTAGAGGCGTCTTTCAGTCCAGACTCGCGCTACGTTTTCTGTGGTAGGTAGCAGATAGGACAATATTATAGTATGAGTCAAAAGTGTCTGCTCTTTGGCTTGATCTTGATTTACAGATTGATTTTCAAAAGGTTCCCCTGGTTTTATACCTCTGCCTTGTTAAAATGATGTTTAGTAGATTTTGGATTCATGTTTAGTGCTACTGCTTTCACTGCCTCAACCCAGAGCCTGACCTGTGGTTAGCAACCTATGCTAAACTTGCTGCATTGAATTGTCAGACTCTTGACTGAATCAGTACACAACAACTTCATATAAAAGAATATTGCAGATTATAACTGTAGAATAGATTCAGATATCTTTATTACAGTATAAAGGCCAAAGGCTCAGAATACATACTTGATTTTGTTAAAGAACCACTAAACTTTGTTTTTTGTTACTCTTTTAACCATTACATATGAAAGATTTGTGGTTAGTCTTATGCGGAACACCAAATTTATTCTTTAAAAACTTGTGGTTAATTAATACCGAGCGATTAAAAGTGGCCAAAAAGTCGCCTGCTTCCCTCTCGCCCGCCAACGAAACCACAGACAGGTTACGTAACTCTGTCGCCAGAGCACTGCAGTGACGTCATATGAGGAGCGATTTTCAGTTAGTTGCATAGAAAGTGTGTAGCACGCTCATCATTTTGATGATTTCGACATGAACGACGACATGCGAATCGTTGCTTTGTCGTCAATTGCTCCTAGGGGTTGAGGTGATGGTGTCACCATGCACAGATTTCCACAGGACCCGCAGTTAAGTGCTAAATGGGTTATGTTTGTGAGTGCGAAGCGGCGTTGTGGAAGCCTGAAATGATATCTTACTTGTGTTCAGATCGCTTCACGGAAGTTAAAGAATCAAAACTACTTACTAGTTATAGTAAGATATGTATATGATTGATGACCATAAAGATTTTCCATAACACAACTTGTAACATAACGATTTCTTCCTCGGAAGTGAGGTTGTGGTCGAAGTAACAATAATATTGTAAGTAGTATTATATTGACACCCACCTGGCTGCCAGGAGAGAAATTGTTATGTTATCACATATATCATGCAAAATCCTATTGGCCATCAATAAAATACATATTTTACTACCAGTAGAAAGTAGTTTTGATTTTAGATTAACTCGGTGAAAACAAACCTAAATAGCATTTATCCACAGACTGGCGGATGTTCCCGACAGGGTGCCGCCATTTTTGAAAATCGTAAAGTCTGTTAGAATTAATGAGATTATAGTTTGTTTTCATCAAGTTAGAAAATCAAGACTACTTTCTACTAAGTAGTTAAATATGTATTGGAATCATAACCAAAAGGATTTTGCATGACACAACTTATAACATAACGATTTCTTCCACGGAAGCGAGGTGGGGTCGAAGTCACAATACTGCGCCAATAAATTTCTTGCTACATTCACATGGTTAATGTCCACTCACCAGTATGTAGATACTAGTCAATGTGCGTCTTTATATTTGGTCTTATAATCCTAATTAGTGTATTATCATACTTTTATGCATTTTGAAACTAAATAAAAGCTGACGATCTGCTGATACTTATAGTGAATTTATAATAGAACTGTAATATCTAGACATTTTATAGTTTGCCAATGTGAATCATAATTCGCACACACACCCTAGTGTATGTTGTCTGTCTCATTACACTTCACGGCGAAAACAATGATTCTGTTGAATGCTACGACAAATGAATAAAAACAAAATGCAAATATTAAAATTAAAACTGATTAAAGTTATAGGAACAATATCAGGCCATTACCTTGTTTGAGGAATGTATCCATCAATATCGACAAAACTGTTCCAAATGATGTGTCTTTTAACAGTTTAATATACGAAAAAGTGATCAATCTTTTCAGGTATTGGTGTATAGTCTCATTGGTCACCCAAGATAGCACACCTGGCAACTAATTGCATAATGTCCGCCTTTCATTAAAAACAGTAATTTAGTTAGCCAATAATGGGCAATCAATCAATGTATTGCGGTTAATCCTTTGAAAGAAGGGCGTTGTTTTTACGCAGACACCGACCACGGCAGAGTGTATTCAGTATAGATTAGTAAATCTACATACATAAACACTACCTTTTGACAATTCCGCTGTGTAAGATAAAAGTAATTAATCAATCAGCGTGTTATCGGTTAATCCTTTGATCGATGTTTATAATGTTGAATATTTACTCCAGACACAAGAAATGCCAAATGGGAACCTTTGTCGGGTAATCTAAGTGTGTTACCACTAATTATACCTGTTATAAATTCATTAACTGACCATCAAGTGAATGATGACAAATAACATGTGTAGGTTTAAACCACCTAACACGGGTTACAACAAGGGAGTATTAATTGCTGTATTGCATGTCAAAACTTATGGGCCGACACTGTTTTGAGAATACAAACAGATTTTTACATGACATGATTAAATATCGAGGTAAAAACACAGAAATGGGATCAATTTGGATCAGTCATTATACAAATAGGGCCTAACGACACCAATCAATTGTGACAGAAGCGTCTATGAAAACAAGTTGTAACTTCGGAAACTATGCAAAGCAGGAGACAAAATTAAATGCTAGTAGATTGTGAGAACATATAGCTTTCATTTTCCACAACAATTGTCCGCGATTTCAGGTTTATACAAGCCTGTAAACAAGATAATTTACCCCCTAAAATGTAGATGAATTCTGCATCGGCCCTCAAAGCTATTCCTCATATGACGTCACAGAGTCGCGCCGCTCTGATTGGTTGAAATTTCGTTCGCGGGTGAGAATTGTGCACTGTTGTCAAAAAGGTCGATTTAAGTCAATTAAAGGTCGAAATGAGTAGTTTTAATGACGGGGTTTCATTTATAACGATGCCAGTTAGTGATTTATGTATTTTTACCCCCTAGGGTTTATGTGACCTTTAACATATGCTGCGCTTACCGGTAATATAGAGGCAGATGTACCATCATATGCAAGAAAGCATGTTTCAAATGTTGCTAAGAAGAGAACATTATGTTTGAATGAACTATAAATATCACTCATCATTGAAGCATGCAGAATACTTGTTTGATGAGTTAAGATATGCTTCGCTTACCGGTAATATAGAGGCAGATGTACAATCAAAAGAATATGCAAGAATATGTTTCAAATGTTGCTAAAACATTTGCATAGAGAAAAGACAGGATGCTTCAATAGAAGCTATAGCAGGCGGAGCTCAGGGCCTAGAGTCCGCTATGTCCATCACAGCATTGAGTCAGTTATATCCATCAGTTGTACCCTTCTGTTTTATCCATTAGTTGTACCCGTCTGTTGTATCCATCAGTTGTACCCTTCTGTTATATCCATCAGTTGTACCCTTCTGTTCTATTCATCAGTTCTACCATTGTTGTATCCATCAGTTCTACCCTTCTGTTTTATTTATCACTTGTACCCTTCTGTTGTATCCATCAGTTCTAGCCTTGTTATATCCATTAGTTGTACACTTCTGTTGTATCCATCAGTTGTACCCTTCTGTTGTATCCGTCAGTTGTTGCCTTCTGTTATATCCATCAGTTGTAGCCTTCTGTTTTATCCATCAATTATCACTGTCAGTTATGCCTAAACTCCCGGATGCTGATCAGTTCTATATTATTGGAATATCTTGAAACTGTTGCAGGTTCAACAGATGGCAAGATACATTGTTGGAGCACAGAGACTGGGAAGAAGATAGCCGAGCTACTGGGGGATCATCCTGGACCCATTCAACATGTTCAGTTCAATCCCAAATACATGATGTTTGCCACAGCTTGTACAAATATGGTGAGTTCAGAGTAGCAGCCAAACTGTCGTGTTGATTTACACACTAAGGTGACCTGTGAAGATCTGGGTTAGAATTGGTATTCAGCAACTCATGCTTGTTGTAAGAGGCACCTAACTTGATTGTGTGGTCCAGGCTTGCTGATTTCGTTGATGCTCATGATGTCAATCACTGGAATTTCTGGTCCAGAATCTGTTCTTTACAAACTGTTGTCTGTTAGCTGGAATATGCTGTGTTTTTCAGTAAAGAACAAGCAGACTATGGTGGCACAGACTTGTGTCTGTTCCATACCTGAATCTGCTGGTTTTGCTTTTGAATCCCTGATTGTGTTATGGTATCAATGGTTTTCATGGTAGCATCAGATTTTCATTGTTTTCAGGTTACCCAATTTTCTCCCTTGCGAACCCAAAATTCTTTAGCACACGTGTAATCCATTGTGTTAAAATATTACCAAATAGCCAAATAGACAATCACATTTTTTCTCATTGTAGAGCTAGGCATTGGAATTCAACCTTTATTTTTCACAATATAGTAAGGGTACTGTATTTGTTGAAGGCATTTTGTATCCCTTAGTAACTAAGAATGATGTCATAGGTTACACTCTTTGGCAACCGCTGAATTGACTTAGATGTATAGAAACTCACTCACTTGCTTACTCTTTATGAAATCAGTGTTACCTGTAACGGCCCATTTCTGGTGTCCCCTGCTGTGATATTGCTGGAACATTGCTAAAAGCGGCATAAAGCCAAACTCACTCTCTCACATTACCTGAAACACAACCATTATTCTTTTGGTCTAGGTCTGTGTTATGTCAGTGTCATGATTGTGTTAGGGCTACAATCTGTGGACAGAGACCTTGTTTGATTTTTGGCTACCTGGAACATTGCTAGCTGTTTGTTTAACGGAACAAACCCATGTAGTAATTATACTTACAACAAACACTTTTGAATTTCAGGCATTCTGGTTACCATTAACTGATGACTGAGCGGTTCCCCTGGAGTGTGGACAGACATCCAAGTGTGTGTGATAAATGTTGTCATGAGATTTACTGTAGTGTAAAAAGGCAGCTGTACTTGGCCATAATCATCCCCAGTTGCCTGACCAATCAGAACACTAGGATTGATCCAACGCTGCGCTGAGAGACAATCGGCACGTCGGATGTAGACCGGGAGACGCGGAAGTCCGCCACACAAAGGACTGCACGCCAAGCTCAGGATATGCATCATTCACCCACACAGTACATCTTACATCCATCAGAGTTATCTCCCTTTTGTTATCATGGCCGCCGCCAGGACAGAATCTCAACACGCTCACACTGTCACAGCATGATCACCGTGTTTTAGTTAGTGGATGAAGAGAGATGTATTTTTGTCATCGCTACTGTTACTTAGTTACCTTTTCATTCTTCATCTTGTTTCTTATAAGATTGGAATTATTTGAAGCTGTGAGGTTAATTTTTGTTATTTTAATTTGCCTTAAAGGATCAAAACAGCCGGTATGGAATATGAATTATGGTACTTCATCATTGGTCAGAAAGCCAAAGTGTAATAAAATTATCATTGGTCATGTAAATGTTTCTGAAAGCTTCTTATGTGAATACAGTGTGTTTAAATGATGGAGATTGACTTGCAATTGTGCATGAAATTTGACACAGACTGAAGTGCATCGGTTAAATATAAGCATGAAAATCAAGAGCCCCTAGCCTGACCCAAATGTTAAGGTTAAAGATGCAAGGGGTCCCTTGATTGAAACCTATAGCAGCAAACCTGACAAACCCAAGGAACCTGTTTGGCTTAAAACTCTGCATCACTGACCTTTGGTATTCTGAACTGACCAACAGTGATGCTTCTAATAGGTCTTGCAAGAAGTGTGTTGAAAGACGTTTTTATTGTGGACATTAGAATACATCAACATTTCATGGGTCTATATACAATATGTTCCTTCATCACCCATTGATACACTGGACTGACTAATAGTAATGTGTCAGTGAGTGAATGTAATGAGGCTGCTTATAACCCCTTGAAAGACAAGCCAACTCTCAAGCTTGAACCAACAAACCCTCAAGCTTGAACCAGGCATCCCTCAAGCTTGAACTGGTACCCACAAGCTTGAACCAGCAAACCCTCAAGCTTGAACCAGGCATCCCTCAAGCGTGAATCTGGTACCCTCAAGCTTGAACCAGCAAACCCTCAAGCTTGAACCAGGCTTGAACTGGTACCCTCAAGCTTGAACCACAAGCTTGAACCAGCAAAACCCTCAAGCTCTGAACCAGAACCAGCAAACCTCAATCTCCAGGCATCCCTCAAGCGTGAATCTGGTGCCCTCAAGCTGAATCTGGTAAACCCTCAAGCTTGAACCAGGCAAACCCTCCTCTGGTACCCTCAAGCTTGAACCAGCAAACTCTCAAGCTTGAACCAGGCATCCCTCAAGCGTGAAGCTGGAACTCAAGCTACCAGCAAACCCTCAAGCTTGAACCAGCAAACTCTCAAGCAACCAGGCATCCCTCAAGCTTGAACCAGAATCTCAAGCTTGAACCAGGCATCCCTCAGCATGAATCCCCTCAAGCTTGAAAACCCTCAGTGAACCAGCAAACCCTCAGAACCAGGCATCCCTCAGCTTGAACCATCAAACCCTCAAGCTTGAACCAGGCATCCCTCAAGCTTGAATCTGGTACCCTCAAGCTTGAACCAGCAAACAGCCCTCAAGCTTGAACCAGATCCCTCAGCAATCTGGTATCTCTTGCTTGAACCAGCATGAATCTCAAGCTTGATCCAGCATATCTCTTGCTTGAACCAGGTGCCTTTCTTGCTTGAACCCTTAACTTTGAACTGGGCCTTTGCTTGATTTGTTGGTTTAAAATAGCAGCTGTATGTGTTCGTATTTATGAGACACATAGTGTATGCAGAGCTGTGAAGTCATGATGATGATGATGATGATGGAAATATGATTTATGCAATGGGTATGTCTATTAACTGTCTTATTAAAATCAAATTAGTGCTCACTACAGCCAGACAAAGATCTTAGTACCCCAATTACAGGTCATGTCAGAACAACCTTTCCCTAGCTTTAACAAATAAAATGGCTGACAAGAAGTTGATAAAAGCGATCAGAAAGAACCTGTCTCAGGCCCTAAGTGCTGGTTTCAAATCAGCGACGTCCTATTCAAAATGGCTTTGAAAAATATTTTGACATGTTTTAAATCAAAATTTGTAAACTGGACAGAAAGAAAATTCTGGAGTGTAGATAATAGATGGCTGTGATTGTTTATCCCAAGGGAGTAGAGATATACAATGGGTTTGACGGAATCAGTTGTAAGTGTTTTGAAAATGATGTATTAACCTTTTAGAGGTTGCATGGTTAGAACACTCTGAGTGGTTGGATGAAAGGTCATTCTGATGTGGGCCAGTGGGGTAGTCTAGTGGTTAAAGTGTTCACTTGTCATGCCAAAGACCTGGGTTCGATTCCCCACATAAGTACAATGCGTGAAGCCCGTTTCTGGTGTCCCCTAGATATTGCTATTATGTCGCTGAAAGTGGTGTAATAATAAACTCACTCACTCATAACCCATAATGGGATGTCCTCAGATCTTTGTCTGGCTGCAGCTAGAACTAATGCCTGATTTTAATGAGATTGGTCTATTGACAATGTATTGTGTCAAGCATTCATTTTTAGGGATGGTTACCCATCCTTGTTAACAATTTTGCCTCCCGGAAACAGTGAGGCTGTTGCAGCAATTTGAACTATTTTCTTCAGACTTACTTCAGGTGCATTTACAAATTGATAATGCTATTTGTTTTTATACATCATTGGTCGATACTATATATTCTTAATGTTCATGTGTTAATCATAGTCTGAGTTTAAAAATGGTTTCTCATCCATCGTCATGGTTACAATTCATTCTGAACAGGCATGAGGCTATAAATGTAGTCATAGCTCTCCGATTTGTAAATCAAGATTTTGTCATTCCCAGGAAAGATTTGATTTTTCTATTCTTTCTTCTGCTATGAAAATGTAATTAGGTTAGTAGTAACAATGGCAACCATTTAATGTTTGACATTTGAAGTTACTAAACATGGGCATTTTTTTCATTTTGTTGTATTCTGTAAATGAAGGGTGTGTTTTCTCTCTCATTCTGGTGAATGCAGACTGTGATACAACTGCAAATTGTGCTAAGCAGCAGTTACCCAAACTCACTACTAAAGGATTACCACAACCCACTGAATAATAAGGAACAAATATTGTTTTCCTTAGAATAGTTAAGATAGAAATATGACATAGTGGAAGCTTATGGAATGCCAATTCCAATGTTGAGATATCAGAATTTCAAGAAAATGTTTTCATTGTGGACAGTATGTTTTTCAAGGTAGTTTAGTGTCCATTTTGCCCATTTTAAATTAACTCTTATACTTGTCAGGTTGTCCAGTTACTGTTATCCAGGAAGCGTTATCTTTCTTGGCTGAACTATGCAGCCATGTTGGTTGCGACTTTTGTACCTGCTCAGAAAGTCCTGGTAACAATGCCCTTTTGAAAGTAAGCTTCTGATTTGAAACATGTTTTCCATGACACACTCAAGCAGTGCACTTTATAGTATTGTCTGTGTACCTAGGGAGGTGTGAGGGATGTCTTATAGGTAGGGATAGATCAACTCATAGCAGTTATCTTGGCTCTATTGCTGCAGCCATACACTGAGACGTGATAGTAATGTTGCGATACACGATACACGCAATCTCCAATTTGAAATACTAGAAACCTAACATTTTCGTCCGTTACACAAGTCATATTTCCTTTTATTCTGTGTATATCTGATTTGTAATGTGAATTTGTTACAATTCATGTTTGCTACCATGAAATATGACCATATATGTATATACTGAGGGAAACAAATAAGGGAACACAAAGCAAAGGTGTTCCTTTATTCCTTTACAGGTTTCATTGCAAACTTTCACTGTGGATGAAAATCCTAAAATAAATAAAGGAACGCTGCTGAAGTAATGTTCCCTTATTTCTTTCCCTCAGAATCATTTTATATCAATACATGATGCAGTGATGTACAGGTACATAGGCACATTATATCATGATACTTCAACACTTTGCAATATACAACTTACATCTGTCAAACTAACTTGTATTAATGCATTTGAAATGTTTGAGACTAAAATGAAACTTTGAAAAAGCACCTTCTGCAGTGTTTTAAGGTAATAAACGCACATCTTATTTTGCATATACAATTATCAAACATCCTGGGTCCCAATCTACAAAGCATTCGTAACTCTTCAGTTTACTGTAGGCTTATGAATGTCGTACCACTACGAACGCTTTGTGGATCGTTACCCTGGTAATTAAACTTTTCAGATTACTTAAATTGAAATTATTTCATTTGTCCTGACTCATTATTTGATTTGATGTTATATGAATTCAGTGGACATCCAATTTGCATTTCAGTATTTTTTGTTCATTAAAAATGTACAGGAAAGACTTGTTCATCGCGAATTCCCATTTTCTTATTGCATATGGTAGCCCGTGTTAACTGGTAATATCTAGCTTCAAGAAAACAGGATATAGAATAGGCCAGTGTCCTGACCTTCCTGGTGTTGTCATGATTCGGGTAGTCTTAGGTGCTGCAGGGGCGGTGGGGTAGCCTAATGGTTAAAGCGTTGGCTCGTCACGCCGAAGACCCGGGTTCGAATCCCCACATGGGCACAATGTGTGAAGCCCATTTCTGGTGTCCCCCGCCGTGATGTTGCTGGAATATTGCTAAAAGCGGCGTAAAACCAAACTCAGTCAGTAGGTGCTGCAGTTCACTGTACAGAGTTACATCCCTTGGATGGGTCAGGAGCCTGTGATAGTGGGTTCAAAACCTGGTTCTCCCCAGTTTTTTCAAAGTGGTAGTAATTTCTGAAAAATTGTAATGTGTCGGAAATTGAGATAAAAATGATTTTCTTTCAAATATTCTTACTTTTCAATATGTTCAGTATCATGTTCAGTAGTTGTTGAAGCTGAGTTGTAAATAATTAGTTAGTGTTAAAACCCCACACACAGACACAGACACACTGACATACACCCACTCTGGAGGACATTTTGTGCAAACAGATCACCATGCAAGGCAATCTTGTATTTCCTTCATTCAGACATCTGGTATGATTGACTTCTTTATATTTCATAAAAGATAACAAATTCTTTAATATGTTTGATGAAATTTTTATCATAGTTCTGTTGATATTTACTAATATTTTAATGTAGTGACATTCATTGCTCCAGGTTTTCTGAAAGTTTGCAAAAGGAGAAGGAGTTTAGATACTTCCATTAGGTTATGCTAATATCGAGTTGGTTGTATATAAAATTAATCTTCTCTGATACACAAAAGTCCTTGAATATTGACAACGTTGGAATGAGTTTAATGAAACTTGTGATTTTATTTGAAATATTCTAGGAAAGCCCTAAATATGTCACTGATCGTGTACATGGTGTACAGTTTAAAATAATTTAGAATTGTTTAGAGTTTTGTTTTTCAGTGGCTTAGACCTCATAGTTTAAATTTATTTCTGTTTAAGGTGTGTGAGGTACCATATGAAGATGTAGTGCCCAATTATAGGAAAGGGGCCATGGCTGGTCGACTGGCTAGTTCTGTAAACATTAGATGGGTCATTTTAGAATGACTTGAGACTGGATGTAAGCACTGGACATGGTGCATACATTACTTTCAGATATCTAGTAGGTATTAACAAGAATTCATGTCACAATCCTAAACAAGACTTGTTTATAATTGTTGGTTAGCAATTTAGAATCGGATCCAGTGACCCAGAATTACTTATTCTGTAGAATATGGGTTGTTTGTTTTCTTTGTTGTTGACGCCACACTAGCAGTGTTCCTGCTATATGGTGGCGGTCTGTAAATAATCAAGTCTTGACCAGACAATTCAGTGGTCAACAACATGAGCATCGATCCGCATCAACCAGATCAAGCTTCCTGAGGCAACATTGTGCTGCTGTAGCCTAGTGGTTAAAGCATCCGCTGGTCACACTGAAGACCCGGGTTCGATTCCCCACATGTGAACCCCTTTCCTGGTGTCCCCTGCCGTGAATATGCTGGAATATTGCTAAAGTTGGCATAAAACCATACTCACTCACTCCCGAGGCAACAAAGGGATCAAATGGCCAGGCTCGCTGACATGGTTAACACATGTCATTGTATCCCAATTGCAGAGAATGATGCTCATGATGTCAATCACTGGATTGTGTGGTCAAGATTAATTAGAATAAGGTGGTAGATAAACCCTACTGGGAGAATGTTTACAGAAGTTCAATTTATTTGCAGTTTCCTGAGATTGTACTTAATAATGAATTCATATTCACTGGTGGTTAATATTAGTGGTTTCCATTTACTAATCCTTGTGTATTAGCACAGAACATTTCAGAATATCACACTTGATTATCATTTCATTGATTGCTGAGGAATTTTCAATAGAAAATCTACTTAAATTTTTTATGTAGTGCTAAAATCAGCAGCAGCAGCATCAACATCATCTTTGCTGTG